CAGAAGATAGACTGCAATCTACTGTTAGACCTCTGGCTGATGTCCAGCAGCCCCCGAGGGACATGCTGGTTGCTGGGTTTCTTGTAAAAAAGGTGAGCCTGGATGGACCTTGGTGTGATCCAACAAGGGACCTATTATGCAGATTGTCAGACTCGGTATCCCTCAACACATATATACTGTAAACAGATCCCCAGTATGGTTTCTTGTTTTGGAAATTTTAAACATACTAGTGGACTGCTGAGATTTTAGTAAACACACATGCTTAACCCTCCCTCCCCACTCCATCCCTAAACTAGATGGCATGCCATCCGTGCACAGTGAAAAAAATATTGTTCTTCTCATAGAATAAGGCATTTACCACAGGGCGCAATATGACACTGAGGCTACTGAACCATTGAAAAATCTGCACTGATAGACGGTTTATCTGTAGATTCTATCTTTTGTAGAAAAGTCTGTGTGTCCCTAAGGAACAAAAGTCAGATTAATCTTGTTCAGAAACATCTTTGGGGGGGGGGGGACATTTCCAGGAATTTCCCAACCTAGAGTTGGTAACTGTATCTCCTTCCCAGCCAACCATCAACCTACCTTTATCTGCCCCTCTGACTTCAGCTTTCCATCTCCCCACCACCACCTGCAGCCTCTACCTAGGAAAAGTAGTCTTTCTCTGCAGTGGAGACCTAAGCAGGAGGGAAGCAACCTCAGCAGGGTATGTCCACCCTATAAAATAGCCATTTTCTCCAGGGAAACTGAGCTCTGCCCTCTAGAGAGTAGTTGTAATTCTGAGTGATCTCCAGCTCTCACCTGGAGAATGGCAGAAATGATTCCCCAGGAGAAAATAACTGCTTTGGAGGGTGAACTCTGTGGCATTCTATTAAGCTGAGGCCTCTCCCCTCCCCAAACCCTGGCTTCCGTAGACTCCACCACAAAATCTCCAGGAATATCCCAACTTGGAGCTGGCAACCCTAGTCAGGACTGGCCCCAATGAGTTCCCCACAAAGGCCTGGAAAGGGCCTCCTGGCTTTGCTGTTTTACTGACAGAACCAAGCTTGGTTGCCTAGCAACAGCCACTGAGGGAAAAGTGAGCCAAGCAGAAGTGTCTTCGTCAGGAGAGACATCCATTTTGGCAGTTTATTCTGACAGGGAATAGTGGCTGAGGTGGCAGTGGGCGGGGAAGAGGAGCGGACCCAGCACCTAGGCAATGGCACGTGGGTACTTTTGAGTGGCGGCTGATGGGCCAATAGCACAGCCAATAGGAGAGCTGGAAAGTGCCAACACGTTAGGGCAATTAAATATCAGATAGGCACCATGTGAGCAATGACAAAAGATATACAATGTACCACATTGCTTACAGAAGCTCTTCTTACTAATCTTTGAAACCTGACAACTTGATCGCTTTTCCAGTCAAAGGCATAATCTGCCTTTTTGTGGATTTATTTCCACAGCCAGTTATTTTCAGAGCCTGATGTTGTTTCAGAGGTAGATGTTCTAAACCAGTTTCCCGGAACAAGGTATTCCAGTTTGTTTTCAGCTGTACACTCTTTATTTGTTATCATTGTTAATCTATGGGCCAGTGTTTGCCTGTAGGGTTCTTCACCACCTTTATATTCCAAACATAGCCATTCTGCTGTTACTTGTATATGCCTTGGAGGTATGCCTCTCTTTCAGTCCAGTCCAGCATCAGATTTATCTTTTCAGCATAAGTGAATTTTGAGAGTGTTTGCAGCTGGAAGTTGATTAATCAATCATCTCCCATTTGTGAATACCGTGAATAACATGAAAAACATGTTTTTCCCACTGAAACCAATGGAAAATATGTGATTGGATCGATAGCCAGTCATATTGGGAAATTAATGCATTGGGTCTGTGCTGTGTAAAACCACTTTGTGCGGTTCCATTTGTTCAAGCAATAGCTGTGGATATACTGCAGTACGTATCACGCCCAATAAGTAGTTCTATGATGTTTTACGCAGGTGAAAATGCAAATAGAGACATAATAAGTTTAATGCAGCACAAGCTACCAGTGTGGGGTTTTTTTTAGTGCACTGCTGTTTGCACTAGGGCTTTGGTATGCACAGAAATCTTCTGCTGGCTCCAACCTCCAGTTAAAAAGTCTCAGTCAAAAGTTTTTAAAATGGCCTGTATCCAGGTCCAGTTTTTCTGATCTCTTTTCAGTAATTTTTTTCCTGGATAACAGCATGTGTAAACAGGGGCTGTATCTTTCTTCATTTAGCAAATATACTGTGGACAAAGTCTGATAATTATCATAGACTGCTAAGGAATCCCAGGATCATCTAACAGGAGTTTCTGCCCAAAGCCGTGATTCTCATCTCTGTAAATATTTGGGATATAAGCAATGTTCCCTCTAAGCTGTGGAGTCCTGTGAGCAAGAATTTTACCTTGTGAGCTACTGGCATTAAAGTTGTGAGCAGGTGATTTGGCTACTGCATAAATTAGTTTGTCCTGGAGCCATCCTCCCTGAGCTAAGACAAAAATGTGTGAGCTGGAGGCTAAGAAACTGTGAGCTAGCTCACACTAACTCGGCTTAGAGGGAACACTGGATATAAGCCTTACCAGCCAATAATGAGCGATAAAATTGTGTGGCTTTCTTTTGAACTTGATGGGAGAAATCTAAGTCTTAAATAATAATGTGGTCGGTCTTTCAGCTTCTTTTGTTTTGTTTGTGTTGAAGCCCAGCGTATGACACTGGTGGAGAACATCCAAGAACTTAGAAGAACAATGGCTGGAGTTGGGCTGTGTCGTTCAGAGAAAAGTGGGGGGTTTGAGTTCTTCACTGTAGACCAAGCGAAGGCTGTAGTTGGCTATCTGGAAATCAGGTATCTGGTCTTAGGTCTCAGCTCGCAGAAGTGATAAATGTGCTGCTATTTGCTTGCCATGTTTGGGCTTTTGCCACCCTTCCATTGAGATGTTAGATCCCAAATCAGGAGAATAGACCCACGTTCAAAAGAGGCAAGATTTATTTCCAAAGCTTGGTTGATCATGAACATACAGAGATTGTTCGGAATAACTACAATAGCCAGGGACAGTGTATTAAAGGAACTTCAAACCAGGTTCAAACCAATGAGCTCATTTCCCTCGTCAGGTCACAGATTAGAAATGGCGCGAAGCAGCCTGAGAACAGCAACGGCCAGTTCCATAAACACAAGTTGAGTTCACACGGAAATATTAAACAAGCTAGAGCGTAAAGACACAACACCCCATCACACCAGCTGGAGGACCTTAGCAGTTACAGATGCAGAACCAGGAGAGGATAACAACTACAGGAGTAAAGGAGGGGGGGGAGGGGAAAGGGACAAGACGTGTCCCAAGAGAATGGCAGCTCGCTGACAGGTAGTTGATGCTGAGAGAGCTCTGAGAGAACTTCTCTTGAGAGAACAGCTTTGAGAGAACTGTGACTGACCCAAGGTCACACAGCTGGCTGCATGTGGAGATGTGCAGAATCGAACCCGGTTCTCCAGATAGGAGTCCACTGCTCTTAACCACTGCACCAAGAGAACCAATTGGTGTTTGAACGAATTGCTTGTATTGGATGATACAATACAAACAAAAAGAGGTAATTAATTATTATGAGTTGAATACAGACTGTGGGGTTTACTGTGAAACGATCTGGGATGCAATGAAGACAGTGATAAGAGGAAGCCTTATTTTGTTGTCCTCTGCCTATAAAAGAAATAGAGAAAAAAATAATATTAGATATAAAAGAAAAAATAAAAACTTTGGAAAGCAAACATAAAAAACATGGGGGGAATAAGATTTTACACAAATTGGTAATGGAATGGAAAAAAAGACAATAGAAATTTCAAAAATCCACCCCCCCAAAAAAATTATACTTGAAACAAAAATATTGGGTGAAAAATCCGAAGACTTTACATATGCTGTCTTGCAGATTTAAACAAAAGATGTCATCAAGATCAGTTACTGCAATTAGAAACTCTCAGAACACAGTGAAATTTAAAAACAAGGAAATTACACAAACATTTGTGGACTATTTTAGAAAACCCGATGACACAGATTTAAGATCTATAAACTTTACAAATAAAATCACTCTGAATCATTTAGTTTTTTTGGAACAACCTATTACATCAAACAAAGTCTTAGAGACCATAAGGTCAGTAAAAAACAAAGTATAAGGAAGAGATGGTCTCCCTGCAGAATTTTTTATAAGAAATTCAATCAACAATGATCGGAAATACTAATTAAAACCTGCAACTATGTACTACAAGAAGGGAAAATGCCCTCATCTTTGGCTGAGGTACGAATTACTGTTATACCAAAAAAAGATAAAAGATTCCTTGAAACCTGGATCTTATCATCCCATATCACTTCTTAATCAAGATCGCAAGATTTTCACCTCAATATTAGTGAACAGATTGAATAAAATTGTCATGAACTATATCCATACTAATCAGTCTGGATATATTCTGAATAGCAATATAACTGATATTAGAAAAACGTTACTATAATTAATTATGGCAACTTAAATCAAAATGATTCTTCAATTCTTGCAATTGACATTGAAAACCTTTGATCATCTCGAAATAAAATATTTGAAAATAGTACTAATGCAAATGGGATTTGGAGACTTACAGACTATTAAAACCCTTTATGACTCACCCAAGGCACATATTAACATTAATGGCTGTAGATCAGATAATTTTATATTAGCTAGAGGTACCATCGAGGCTGTCCTCTTTCACTCATTTTGTTTATTGATAGAACCACTGGCAAATACTAGTAGACAAAATTCTAAAATCAGAGGGATTAGAATTGGCACAGTGGTCCTGACTTGGATAGCCCAGGCAAGCCAGATCTCGGAAGCTAAGCAGGTATGTTTAGCCTAGAGAGGAGATGACTGAGAGGTGATATGATAACCATCTTGAAGTACTTGAAGGGCTGGCTGTCATATAGAGGATGGAATGGAGTTGTTTTCTGTTGTTCCAGAAGGTTCGACCAGAACCAATGGGATGAAATTAAATCAGAAGAGTTTTCAGCTAAACATTAGGAAGAACTTCCTGACAGAGCGGTTTCTCAGTGGAACAGGCTAACTTAGGAGGTGGTGGGCTCTCCTTCTTTGGAGGTTTTCAGAGGCCATCTGGCAGCAATGCTAATTCTGTGAATTTAGGCAGATCTTGAGACGGAGGGCAGGAAGGGTTGCATCAGTGCTTAGTTCTTGTGGCCCTTTCTTACATGCCCAGGGAAATGCTGATTGCCACTTTGGGGTCAGGAAGTAATTTTTCTCCAGGCCAGTTTGGCTGGAGATCCTGGAGATTTTTTGTCATCTTCTGGGCATGGAACAGCAGTCACTGGGGGTGTGGTGGGGAGGTATTTGTGAATTTCCTACATTGTGCAGGGGGTTGGACTAGAGGACTTTGGAGGTATCTTCCAACTCTATGATTCTAGGGTTGACTGTGGTTAGTACTTGGATGGGAGATTTCTTGGAATACCAGGTTGGGAGAACAGAGGCAGGCTTTATTCAGCCACCTCTCTGAATATCCTCCAGGCCCCCAGAAGTCTCCCATCCAAGTACTAACCACATTGACCCCTCTTAGCTTTCGAGGTCTGATGAGACTGGGTTTGCCTGGGCTATCCAGGTCAGGGCTACTGCTCCATTTTATTGTTTACTCCTTATTGTCTGTTTATTGTTTATGATGTTGTTAAAATCAAAACTAAAAGGTAAGAAAAACTTCCAACAACCAAAAATCCACCACCTCAATGAGGGAGACTGTTCCAGTGTCGTACGCACCTTACTGTTTGGAAGTTATTCCTCGATTTTAGACGAAGCCCACGTTGCTGTAGTTATTATCCATTAGTCTGAGTTCTGTCATCCAACACGACTGAAAACGTGTCCACTCCATCTTCCACATGAACATCCTTTTAAGTATCGAAGGCGACCATCTCACAAGCATCTCTTCTCCGACATAGAGATTCCCAGGTCCTTCATGTCAAAGGCAATTATGTAAAAGGCTGTTTTTCTGTGTTAGACTGGACACTTTGTAAAAACTAGTACGGGCTGCTTTCCGTTTCCATTCCCTGACATTAAAATATTAGTGATCTGACTGCTCCTAATACCTACCTACCTCCCTGACATTAAAATATTAGTCATTTGTGATCTGCCCCTAATACCTACCTACCCATTCTATCCGCCCAGGAAACTATCCACAGGGAACTTCTCTACTGATAAGTCCTGAAGGAGAAAAAAAGAGAGGAGATGACCTCAACAGATGCTAGGAGACAGTTTATTGAAGTCATAATCATGCTCACAGTAGCACGAAAGTGTTATGACATCAGAGAGTGCAGTAAGAGCGAGGCCAGTAACAGGACAACTCTTTCTTGTGCTCAGAAGAGCTGAGGGGGGACAGTAGCCACAGTAAGAAGAGCTCTGTAAGCTCTTGGAGGATTGGCTACACTAGGGGTGTGTGGCCTAATATGCAAAGGAGCTCCTGCTACCAGTAGAGCCCTGCGGGGTCACAGAGAAGGCCTTTCCGGTGCTTATCCTTGCTAATTCTGGATTGGTACAAAAGATATCCTTGTTAAACAAATTGCCAAATTCCTCTGCCAAACGACAACCGCCAGCCCTGTTACATGAAGCAAGAAGTGTATCATATTCTAGGAGACAGTTCGTTGAAAAGATCCCAGGACCTACTGGATATAAAACTTTTCTTCAGAGAGAACTTTTCATTGTCCAAGGCCCAGCCTACAAACGCAGCAAAATAAGGTGGTAGTCATGATGTGGTTGAGTTAATTGTACCAACTCCGCTTGCTGGTGAAAGGTGCCCTTTTTAATAGTGTCTCATTGTGATTCTGCCAATCAGTTCTCTACCACGGGCAGATGGACAGTGATAAAACAGAGATTGTTTTGAACAAACATCTCCCCCCCCCCCTTTTAAGTACTGAGGGAAAGGATGATTATTTTTAAAATCCAGGAAAAAGATTTAACACAATGGCAGTGTTAGAGTCCATTTAGTGGTCAGCATTTTAAAATCTCTGTTATGAGAAATGTCTCTCCCCTAGGTTTGGGAGTGTGTCCTCTGTCCTCCTACTGGTACTCCATGCCAAGTTTGCTGAAAACATCTACATGCAGAATAAGATATATCTGCTCATTGAGATTTACAAATCCAGAGAAGATAATCTAAACCCTGGTTTCACAGGTTTTGAAAATAGGGATAAAGATCTGTGAAGCAGGTGTATATGACATGGAATGAGGAACTAGGTAAAGCTCACAAAGTCTAGCTAAAATAGTATTTTATAGCTCCCCCCCCCCCCGGTCCCAAGCTTGCTTCGATGTGGTTAAATTGTTTTGTTCTGTTTTTTCCTCTTCAACTAAGTATCAGTTTTCTTGTCTTCCAGCTTATTCCAGCATTATGCCCTATATGAGTATCTTTTCCATAGTCCCCGGGAAGAGATTGTGATAGGAGATGAGGTAAGTAATTTATATGACTGGAACTGATTAGGCGGAATATTTTAATGCGTGTTCTCTGGCATCTGTTTTCTATAGCTCAAAGCAACTTTGTGTCAGAATTGTTCAAGTGTTAACAGCAAAGAATAGCAGATGAAAGAATAAATGAGGAATACAGTAATGCCTGTCTCCTGCAGAATTTGAAATTTAAAAAGAATAAATATGCCATTGTGGGTTAGGCTTTTTCCTGCATTGTCAGGAATATCTTCTTTGACAGCATTTATCCAGGTGATATAAAGGATTTTAGTCACAATCACGTGTGGCTGTGAAGGAAGCCCCCCCCCCCCCCCAATTTGCAGAGGTTTTAAATGACTGTTTATGGTTCATGTGGCTTGTTCTGCTTTACTTTGTTTCTGGCGTGTGGCTAGAATCAGTCGACTCAAACGGGTCAGAGGCCTAGGCTCCCCCACCCAGCAGAGGCCCTGGGTCTGATAGTGTCCCACTGATGTATCACGGCAGGGGAAAGGGGCAGTAGTCAAACCAGGGGTTAATTTCAAAAGGTATTGTTCATTATCCACTTCCCCTGTGTGCCTTTTTAAGATTTGGTCTGCTAGCATCCTTGGTCTGCTAGCATCCTTTCAGGGCCCTC